AGCAGCAGCAGCAGCAGCGGCGGATGTCGTCGTCGTGGAGGCACATTCGCCCTGTGCTTTCAGCCAACCATCAAATATGGAGCGGCTTCGACCATCCTCTCCTTCTGACAGAACTCCGCGAAGAAGCGGAAGTTCAGTCCGCGAGTCTTGGGCCATCGCTTGCCTTACGGGCACAGGGCTCTGTGGGAGGGAACTTACAGGCTGCCCAAAGAGGATCTAACCCAAGCGGCCCTGGCCCTAGCAATCTTGCCCTCGTGGTCGTTCGGCATTATCCCAAAACCTCTTTGGTGAAGAGCACAAAACATGTACTCGGCCCGTGCAGTTAAGCTGCGATACACGTCCATCTTCAATGCGCGAAAGTTGGGAGTGTTGTAGCACTTCCTTCAGAGATCAGAAGATGCTCTAAATTTGAAAGATGCGCGCGCCAGCGTGTGCTGTTACGTGCCTCAGGATCGTCCGCTTGAGTCTGGGGCTGCGTGCATGGCTTCCAATGGTGGTGTACAGCTTCGGGCGCCACTCCTCCTGACCGCATCAAGCAATACTTTTACCCATGTTCGAGTGAGTGGCCATCTCTGTTGGAATCTCGGCAGTAAGTCTTTGCGTGTCCTTTCTCTCAAACCACCAGCGCCCATACTGCTCGTCGTACTCTTTGGTGTTGTGTGCTCCAAGCGGCGGATATTCTTTCTCCTTGTTGTAGTCCCCGTCCATGGCATGCCACCTCATTCTGCGCTCACTCACAGGGCCCGTGACACAACCCCTCACACGGCCGAAGCACAGTGAGGCTCAGGTATCAGCTGGCAGCTGGCTCAACGACCGAACCTGCTTGACGGCTTGAGCTGGACGGACAAGCTTTCGTGCAACCGTGCATCTTCCGCCGCCCACTCGTGGGATCTGGACCAGGCTCTCCGTACCTCGGCGCTCTGAAGCTCGACTGCTTTCAGCGCTTGAAGAAGCGTTTTTAGCAAGGGCGTGCTGGACCACTCCTCCACAAGCTGACATGATGGACTGAGCCACATGTGGACGATCCCTCTTCAACTTCCAGACGAGGCACATCCCATGGCCTGGTGAGGCCCAGCCGGATGCTCCAAAGGCTCGCGACAGGGTGGCCGGGGGCCTGTGGGAGCGAGGAAAAGACAGGTCGTCGCTGGGTTGGTCCGTCATCGATCAACCGGCTCACAACGTGGTTTTTCGCGTGTTTTTGCTTGCTGCTTTGCTTGTCTGTGCTTTGGCCTGTGGCGTGGTGTCTCTGGGAAAGCACCGCATGCTGCAATGTCGCAATTAACACTTGGTCTTTTCTGTGTGCCGAAAGTGCACTCGTGGCACCCCCCGCGGCGACGAAGACCGGACTTCCATCATCCGAAAGCTGCCTGTCCCAAAGCCAACGTCCCCGATATTCCAAGCCAGTTTCTCTTGACGAAGGCACCTGTGAAGTGCGCTCGTCGGCGCCAGACCTGCGAAAGGATGATCTGTTTGCGTGCTCTGTTCAGATCTTTTACGCACATGTGACCTATATATATATATACACATACCCACTTGCGCCTATACACATCTTACGCATGTACACTGAACATGAATACACACACACACACTCACACATACCTATACATACCTTGACATACCTACATGCCTCTACATACCTCTACATACCTCTACATACACATACATACATATACATACATACATACATACATACATACATGCACACATACATACATACATACATACATACATCCATGCATGCATACATAATTTCATACATACATGCATGCATACATATATACATACATACATTGTTACATGTGCTGGTATGTGTGTATATGCTGATTTGTTTATTAATTTTTTTCTGAATTTGCATGGTCCACATGACAAACTGAGCCTTTTGACCTTGCAAGCCGCTTGGAGCGTACCACAGCAAGCTCTAACGGAATCGCCATTTCAGCACGTCATGCTACACACTTGGTCCGAACCTGCCCGGCCACATGTCAGCCCGACATAGCGGCGAAATATTGAAGCCATGTGAAGCTAGTTGCAGGGTTTGAGGTTTGGGGCTGGGGGCTGTAGGTCGGGGTTAAGCTTCAGGAGCATGGGGGAACTCACAGCTGAATATCTTCATCAATCTAAGCGCTTCCAGGGTGTCATGCACTCAGCTGACAAGCACAAAATGGCTTGGCAATGAGAGTCGCAAGCCTGAACTCTCCAGAACCTTGTGCTGGCGGCATTCACGCAACATGCCATTGACACAAATAGGTATGATGAAAATATGTAGAAATGAAAGTGGCCCCAGCCCAAGTCTCCTTCTATGTCACATGCGTATATATATATATACACACATATGTATGTATGTATGTCTGTCTGTCTGTCTGTCTGTATGTACGTATGTACGTATGTATGTATGTATGTATGTATGTATGTATGTATGCATGTATATGTACACACGCTGAGCTCAGCACGGCCGCAGGAACAACATGGGCTCTCCCTGTGCGCTGCTCACCTCTCAGAGGGGCTTAAGCGCGAAGAAGCGGGTTCTTGGCGACGCTTGCGTTGAAGTGGTGCCAGCAGCGCATCTCAAGGTCAGAGTCAAAGACTCAGAGCAAGATTATTGCCGCACATGCGACGGAAGAGCCATCCATCCGGCGAAGTCTACTGATGTCTTCCTATCACTGACGTCTCATTGGCATCGACTCACAAGACAGAGCTGTCCAAGAATCGTACCTGCGTTGACAGCCTCTCCATGATTGGCATCAGGCGCTCAGTGAGGCAGCCGCCTCGAACTGCAAGATCGAGACTGAAAACAAGCGGCATGAACTTCGATGAACAACAAGGACCTGTCCTGTAAACTTGTTCGGTTGCTGTGGCCATGTCTGAGCGGAGGCCCTCTGAGCCCAGTGCAGAGTCCATGGATGTATCCAAGGAGCTCCACCTCTGCGACGAAAGAGAGAGAGAGAGAGAGAGAGAGACATATATATATATATGTATATACTCTATTGACGGTATTGAGTCTTGCTGCATGAGCTGGATGCTTGAGGAACTGAATTCTGGAAGGTCTCTGGTTGACCAAGACCAACCCTTCCAACTCGAGGCTACAATCATGAGGCCATGGCCACTGTTCCGCCGCTCTCCTGCAGGATCGCGTGAACACAAGCTGTAATGTCGCACGTCCTGTCCCGGCGAAATAAGAAATTCTGGCTGCCATACCTGCTCCTCCTGTTCCTCCTCGCGGTGTGATACTGCAACTACCGCTATACAACAACAACTCAACATTTTCAACTTGTGACCACGTGACGGACAACGGCGGTGAAAGCCGAAAGCCGACCAATCACCGACGAGCAAAGCTCTGTGTCCCGCCCGTACCCTGTGCAGAGCCTGCGAGACGCTGCCAGCTGCTGACGCCTAAATGCTTCAATGGACGGAAGCCATGGAACTCAACAAACATAACACAAACAGAACAAACCGACAACTTTCTTGCAGCTCCTGGAATCTGATTTAATTGATGCAATCACCTTGAACCTGCTCTGGTGCAGCCCTGGCACAGAAGTCCCGCCCCGTGCCGCAGCCTGCCAAGTCAGGGTGGGAAATTTGAAGCAAAGGTCGGGCCTAAAGCTCCGAGTCAGGGACCCCGTCGGCATGGGGCTTTATGGTTGCAAGGAGTGAGTCAAACTTCTGTGTGTAGCACGGCTTCTTTCTGCATAAGCGCTTCCAACAAGCTGCGATACAACGAAGCCAAGAGAAGAAGGGTATCTGCGCAGCACGTGCAGTCATAGCACGTGCAGTCATGGCTGTGCAATGGCTCGAAATGCGGCTGCACATCTGGTAGGAGGGGGCCTGGGGACTCCAGCGGAGTCAAGGGGGACTGGCACAGAATGTACGGAGTCTGCTAGCTCAAGATGCAAGCTACGCAATGCCAGAAGGATGCTTGCTGCACGTGTATACACCATCCAATTTCCACTCGACAGCAGTTTTTGAGTTTGCTGCCCGCCCCAATGATGGGCCCTCACATGCTGTTGCTCTTAAACTAGCTGATCTGTGAGGTGACTTTCGAAAATCTAGTCCGAAATCAGGCAGGTATACCCAGGAGGACAGACAGCGGCTGAGTGCCCTCCAGCAGTGGCAGACCTGGGACATCAACAACTTCAGGGAGCATCACTGCACTACTTTCGAATCACGTTCGACTGAATCAGAATGCCGCAAAGAGGGTTTTCCAAGTGCTGTGTATGTCCTGCTCTTCCTTTGGCTTCGGATGACGTGCGCAATTCACTCCCAGGCTCTTCGGGAACGCATTCCCACAGGGATCCGATGCCGAAAGCAGGAATTCAGGAACAGCAAAGCTTGCCTTAACGCGAGGCGTCGTCGAATGGTCCAGGGCATTTATTACAGCTGAGCCCTGCGTAGTGTCACAAGCGAACAGAATCCTCTCACAGTGTCTATTCTATATATGCCCATGCTAGACCCACCTCAACACTCTGCGTTCAAATTAACATGAGTCAGCGCAAGCAGAGGTACAAAAACCTTGCATGCCAATTGCATCGGGGCTTCCCAGAGCATCACTCGCAAGTGACGGCATGATAATACTATGCTGTTCTGCAAGCTTCCAAAAGTTATCTGGGCCAGATCATTTTTGAACATCGTTAATATCGTCGAGAAGTACTAATATGTCAGTAGCAGCAGCAGCAGCAGGAGGGCGTAATGCACAAAAGCACAGGAGGCCCAAGATGAGTCGGCTCCAGGCGTCCCCGAGGCTTCGCTGCATCAGGCCGAGGCGTAGGGCGGCCTTGCGTGCTCCAAAGGATATCATCAGATCATACCTTGCAAGCTCAACTTTTTGACAAAGCCTTCAAACAGCGGCTTGGGCCTTCAGTGGTGGAGGGCATTTAAAGGCTACCTCTCATGCTACAAGTATTGGAGGAACGGCTCGAGACCTGGCGAACTGAACGCACGGGGCATGGCGCAGCGATAGAACGCTTCTCACGTCCCTGCAAAAAGGTTACCAAAGCACTCTAAAGCACAGCGTGTGCCGCTATGTGTAGCATGGAAATGACCAGCTGCAGCGGGTGGGACACTTCATAGTGATCGCCCGAGGTTGGAAGAAGGATGCGAAGTTACAGAGCTTGTGTGATGGAAAACTTCGGTCCTGCCTCGGCCCCAGCAGAGCTCACCTTGCCAGCCTGGAGGGGCTGACACCCGGCAGAAACTGCCCTCGAACCCTCAAGATGAAACCCATGGAGCCGAGCCAAACCGAGCGAATTCAAGCGTAGCGAAGCGAACCGCAAGGAATCGAACAGGAGCCGATACCATCCGATACCGAGCCACAGCGAAATCAACGACACGCTTATATCTACGAAAGATTTCGCAAAGCCCTAGAATCGCTACGAACCGAACTCGCATCAATGTTCGCTATTGTGACCTCAGCAGTCCGGCCTCCTTCTCCACCGGTGCCGGGGCCTTTTTCAAGCACCGCCGTGCCAGTGCGAAGTGGGAGCTGCTACGGCTCTCTGTGGAGAGGCCCGGCCTCATGTGGCTTCTGGACGGGAAGGATGCTGCTGAACTGGTGCAAGTGCATCGCCGGGGCGAAAGGTGGGCGCAGGAAACACATGCAAAGAAACCTCGCTAGGCCATTGCCTCGCAGAACTTACAGAAACATTTCTGATTTAAACCAGCTTTGTCGACTCTTCTGCCAACCATACTTCAGCACTAGTACCTATCGATCAGACAACAAGAAGAGCGTCCACTCATGCAGTTTCGCATGGGATGGTAACGAAAAGTACTGAGAGGTCACAGCACACCTTCCTGCACCTGCAACACCAGCAAGCAGCCTCAGGGAAATCTCAGACGTGAGATGCCACTGGATCACAGACGTGTGTGTGTATATATGTGTGTGTGTGTGTGTCATGTGGTGTGTCGGCTGAGAGCGTGGCACTAGCGAGGCCACTCCTCACTCGAGGCTGAGGTAGGAGTGAATTGGGCTCAAATCCTAGTTCAAGGAACACTGCCCGGGGCTCTTGCTTCCTTTACGCAACGTATCTCCGTGGAGCAATGAAGCCTGACCTTCCATCACTCAAGCCTGTCAGTGCAGCGAGGGAAGACAACTGAAACCACTCAAGCACAAACCTCCAACAATGCTTCGCTGAGACCTACATTATAGTACACACCATTACACAGCAAACGTGCTGAAGGTACATTGAATGAGCCCAGCTGCTGAGCCGCGCCACAAGACTCCGGACGCAGCGATGCCTGGAAAAAAATGCGGTGCATCACAGTTGCTGAGCGGTGTCGAGGGGTGCAGGCCTGTGCTACACTGTGAACTCTAAACCCAGAGTTGGGTCCCTGGTACGGGAGCTCCTGCCCTAGGAAGCCACCACCAAACAGAACCAAGATCGGTGCAGCCGCCACAGGCAATCCACGAAGCTTTGGGCCAAGGCCTCCCGGTGCTCCGAGTGCCCCGAGTGCCCTAAAACCTAAACCTTGCGTCTTAGAATAAATAATGAATCCAAGAATACACCATGCTGAGAACATGCCAAGTGTTTCTTCTG